CTACGGTGCTAATAACTGTCGGATCGACAGCGTGGCACGAGGCCAATAAAAAGGACGCTGCATAGAGCATGAATCGATGAAACATTAGAAATTCAAATTCCGAACTCCGTTCGTAAGACGGACACTCGGTCCGACCACGCCTCTTATTCATGACCTAAGAGCAAGAGCATAACCGGTTCATGCTTTTCAACGTTTAAACCCACCTCACTCTATGGAACACTCACGCTATGCGGTACTCTATTCGCGCACATCAACTTCCCCTTCGTCGTCCTTCGCAAATCATGCGGGAAGGACGTTTAGGGTTGCCCAGCGATCAATACGCGGCGGACTTTATTGAACGCTACAATCTCGCGCGATCCATTCTCTCGGAATTTTACCTTTACGAGTTTTGAGATCGCACACACATAGAGATTCCCGATAGGAGCACGTAAAATAGTCGCAAAACGAATCTTTTCAGCTCCGGTTCTAAATGCAACGACGCAACGCCTTGATTCGTAGACCCTTAAAACGTTCTCTTCGAAAAAGTCGAGAATCGAAAGGCGGAAACAGAGAATATCTTTAAATCTCTCCTACACTGCAACGCATATATATTAATCGTTAAGAGAACCAGATAATAACAAGTTCATAAGTTTATGATCAAGGATATCAGCAAACGTCGGCGATACAGTTTAACCGTTAAAAGAATGCTTGGTTTCGATCATACCTGAAGCTGATACTGAAATTGATATCGAGGCCGCTTCTCGCCGGCTCTCTGTGAATTATGCTACGAGTTCCGTATTAAAAAAAAAAAAAAGAAGAAGAAAGGATAGTACACCGTATTTTGCGTGTGCTGCTTGAACGATCGGGAGAGGAGACGACACAACGAGTAAACGTTTGTAGAAGCAAAAAAAAAGCCGCAGATGATGTTCGACGGGGTGGGGCTTTGCTCTCCAGGCCAAGAATATATAAATCGCAGGTAGGGCTGAAATTCAAGTTAGTTCGGATACGATCTGAGGCTATCGGCAATCTACGGAAACAAGAGATGCGGGTGAGTCTACCGGTGATTCATTATTGTGGAACTGTTGCTATTGTTAGGCTGTTCGATTATTTGCATAATGTCGGTCTAATGGCGCTAATTTGACATTAAAATGAGGAGAAACTTCTTCCTATTTGTTTTTTCTAAAGTAATACTTGTTAAATTTGTCAGTCATTTGCCGTGCTTCTGCTTTAAAATTTTTAATTTATTTCACAAGAAACGAAAGATTTAATTAATTATTGTTATTTATATAAGATCGTAAAAATTGCTCTATTCTTATTGTAATATGAAAAGATAAAAATATGAAAAAATAAAAATAGATCAAAATAGCAAGATATATTAATAGAATATTATTGTCGTACGTACCGCGCTGACGTCATAATGTTTTCGTGGAAAGTAATTTCATTTCTTGTTTGCTCGGATCATTCGCATGAAACACACGAAATTCAACGGGCAAATCTCATTTCGAGAAGTTATTACGTTTCTCATCTACGCTTTTGAGAAACAATAAACAAACGCATATACCCTAATAATACCGACAGTTAAGAAAATTACAATATAATATATATAAATATATAGAAAAATATAAAAGCACTACTAATTCTGTCGAGGGACTACTCACCTACGAAATCAATGAGGAATTCAGTAAATGAAGCAGTCAAACATTCCTCATTGAAATCAAGAAATCATCTGAAATCAAACAAAAAAGCATTGTCTTACGTTCGATCGCGCGTCTCGAATTTCTTTCGGAAAAAAAATAAAATCCGATTTTATATTCCGATAAAAAAAATAAAATCCGATATTATATTCCGATATCAGGAAATCACTTTCGTAAGTGAGTACCCTCTCGAATCCTGTATTTTAATGTTTGTTGTGTTCTTCGTCTATTTAAATATAAAATCTAAATTGCTGTTATTTCGATGTTTCTCAAACTTAAATTTTTTCGCAGGGTTTATCATCGTTCGTAATTTTCTTCGCGGTGGTGGTTGGAACGGCAGTACCGAAACCATTATGGTCGACTTCAGTCAGCACTAATTATTTATATTCCACGCCCGGAATCGGACAACACCAATATCAAAATACGCATTCTCCCTATTACGTTTACAATGTATTACAGACATAAAATATTCTACAATTAACGTTTGGACATCATTTGTAACATTATGCGCCTTTTTAGATTTATTCAAACACAGGAGGTATACCGAATGCTCTTCATGTTAGCGGCAAACCAGAGATTTCTCACTTTCCTGCTTACAGTTTCTATTATGGAACACCAATTTATGATATCCGGATTCCATTAAATCCTGTAATTATGTCATTTCAATGAATTTTCATTCAAGAAAATCACTCGGGTTTTATACTGTAAGCTACATATACGAATGAACAATAACTTGTATTATTCCAGATTTATCCCTTGTTAACACCATCTCATCCAGGAATACCTCCGGCACTTCCGCCAACATCGACAGAACAATCTTCCGACGAAGACGATTATGACGGCATCGAAAAGTTAGATACGAAAGTCGATCCGGATACAGAGACAAAAAACCCAGAAAATACAGATAACGATTCCATAACTGTGGAAGCAATATGAAATAATTCTTCTTGATACGTGCACAACATAGCGTATATATGAACATGGAAAGTTACAATAAGTACAATCGTTTAGTACGATAAATGTTCGCTTTTTTAATGTTATTTTTATATTTATATTATGTTACGCTACATCCGAAATATGTTAAAAAGTTCTTTTTGACTAAATTTTTATTAAAAGAGAAAAATAATGCACTGTTACATTCGTACGTAAGTACAGCGTCCGATATTTGTAATAAAAATTCAGATTTTGGTAGATTTTACTTTATTTATCTATTTTTCTATTTCAAATTACCATTTGAAAGTTGCTTGAAGTTATTTGCAAAGTAGAGATGCTGATATTGAGGAAAAAAATATCGAATATAAATATACTTGTTAATTTAAAAAGTATTCATATCAATATTATCGAATAAATAATTAATATATCAAATAAAATTTCGCTGATCGATATTTATAATATTGTACAAGAAATAAGAAAAGGAGAATGTGTGTGTTAAGTTTGGACTATTTTTTAGTAAAAATCAACATTCTTTCACGTTCATGTTTCCCTAATATGAGCAATACACTCGACTTCGCTTAAGCAGCCTTTAAGGGCGTGTTCAGATTCTCACTTGAGTGCTCCTCTCCCCTTAGGTACCTGTTACGCCCTAAACACAATGCGAAGCAACAGCGACAAGAACAGCGATAGGAATGGCATAGAAATAAGCGATATATGTATAATTGTCGCCTCCCGTTGCACAATGCCGCTAAAGAAATAAAAATGCCAACCAATCTGATCTCGTATATAGACCGTAGTATATTCTTCCATCTGCTTCAAGGTTATAGCACACATAAACAGAATGAAAAATCTGAACGCTGATTGGCTGGCTGGCTAACTGGCTACAAGGCGACAGACACAGAATTCCAACTCGTCGGAAATTTATCACCTATGTGCATTGACATATGGATTCCCGTATGTTGGATTCCTCTGTTCCTATCGCTATCGCCATTTATCTATTTATATTGCCTCGCATTGTATCTTGGGCTTTATCCTTTTTATAGGTCTACTTTTTATAGTTGAATTAGTGTACACTTTTGTAACTTAAAGTGAGATAGGTATATGTTTAATAGTTGGCAAAAGCGAGAAAGATATTTCTAGTGCAGTTTAGTGTAGGAATAAAAAAACGTCTTGTTTAACATTCGGCGAACAACAAGAATGGAATGATATCTAGTGACACTCTAAAGGACAAAAATTTAAACATAGTCTAAGCCTTAGATATACATAATATAATATATAATTTGTACATCTCGGAACTTTTTCATTTTAGTTGAAAAACATCCAAAACTTAATATCCTCGATCCTTTATATTGTAATAATATTGTCAAATTTTTATGCATGTAAAGTAATAATATTTATCTACGTGATTGATGTACTTCTATTTTTTGATATACTGCTTCTGTTGATGTACTTCTTCCTAAATCTATCAGATTCATAGTAATTTTTACATCATATACCACAGCCAGATCCATTCTTCAAATTTTCTTTGTTTTCAACAATTAAGATCAATCTACACTACTTGCATCCACACATTTTATGCATTCATATGCATGAGAAATAGATCAATCACATGCATAGAATGAAGAATGTAGCAATATGGACCATCGACTTGCCTTTGTTTAACATTGATAAACAACAAGGATGGAATGATTCCATGAACGTTGCGAGTATCAAGTGGAATGCACCTTAGACCGTTAATTCGCTTATACATATACATATATAATAAGCTTCTTATAATAAGCCATTACTCCTAAAACACTAGGTGTAGTAAGCCTTAAGCTTTAAGAAATTGATCAATTACAGTTGAATGTGAGAAGAATAATCGACTATAATTGATCAATTCCTTATAAGGCTTAATATTTACTACTATTGTATTTGCGGGGTAAAAGTACTATAGTACTGTATAGCACGGAAGACTGTGGTTTATGCATGTATCTGCTTCTGATAAAATGGTATAAACTATAATTATATTATAGATATATTAACGCTTTTACTTAAAAATATTTAATTTATGAATAATTTAAAAATATTTATATATTCGATATTGCATCCCCATACTTTTTCTATTCGATATTTTATACCGATCTAAAAAAATCTCGAGTAATCGATAATATTGAATATCAATAGCTATCTCTATTGTAAATAAACATCTCTATTGTAAATTTATTAACAAACATTTATTAATTTTTCATATCAGAAAAGCTATTTATTAAATCGACAGAATTCGACAGATTTGATATCGTCTCACAAAGAACAGGATAACGACGGAGTTAACTTGGCGTCGATAAATCGATCGTTGTTACGACGAAAAAAACGTCGAGGTCAGTTACCCCCGAGAATCCGAGATAAAATGGGGTCAAAGATGATGAGAAGTCTTCGAGTCCATCAGTACATCGATTTCCTTGGAACGCGCTCGTCGATATCGACGTTACAAAAATGATTGTCCGCCATGGAACGTTATGGGCAATCGCGGTGCTTGTTCTTCTCGCGAGTGTATCATTTTCGGAATCTGTAAAACTGCGAAAACCACGAAAGAGGACCATGGCAAAATCTCCGTATCAACAGTCCAGGATTGGATCGGTAATTATAAGAGTGATGCATAAGTATTCTGATGATGATCTGAAGCGTGGTGCATCGGCTGGTTGTATTAACGGCAATTGTAGAAATACGCACAATAAATTTAACTTCGAACCTGTCAACGAAGCGATGTCTGAGAAAGACAATTTCCTCTCAGACGAGGAATCTTTACGTTACGTCGTGCATCCGGAGAAATATGAACATTTTGTATTGAGAAAGAATACTGGACACGCGAACAGATACAAAAGGGACTCTACATTTTCGGAATTACCGAATTCATCGAATACAGACGATCGTACAGTAGTTAATCGTGACGGTGACGCGAGTGAAGTATCAAAAAACGTAAATAAAAGAAATTTTACGAAAAAAATATACAGACTTCCGCTATACAGAACAGTTTTACTAAATCGATTCAATAAATACCCAAAGAATCTTTTGAAACCTTTAAGCGAAGTGAACAGAACGAGAAGCCTCGCTGTTGATTATTTCTCGCAAAGAAACGATGATGACAATGGCAATACGAGTAAAGTACAAAAATACATAAATAAAGGACATTTTATAAAAGTTCCATTATACAGAACAGTTTCACTAAACGAGCTCAGATATACAAAGAATTCGGAACCTTTAAACGAAGCAAACAGAACGAGAAGAAGCCTCGCTATTGATTGTTCTTCGCAAAGAAACGATAGTGACAGTGGCGATGCGAGTAAAGTACCGAAAAACGTAAATAAAGGAAATTTTACGAGAGTTCCGCTATACAGAACAGTTTCATTAGACGGACTTAATAGATATACAAAGAATTCGAAACGTTTAAGCGAAGCAAGCAGAATGAAAAGAAGCCTCGCTGTTGATTACTCTTCGCAAAGAAACGATAATGACAGTGGCGATGCGAGTAAAGTACCAAAAAACGTAAATAAAGGAAATTTTACGAGAGTTCCGCTATACAGAACAGTTTCATTAGACGGACTTAATAGATATACAAAGAATTCGAAACGTTTAAGCGAAGCAAGCAGAACGAGAAGAAGTCTCGCTGTCGATTACTCTTCGCAAAGAAACGATAATGACAGTGGCGATGCGAGTAAAGTACCAAAAAACGTAAATAAAGGAAATTTTACGAGAGTTCCGCTATACAGAACAGTTTCATTAGACGGACTCAACAGATATACGAAGAATTTGGAACCTTTAAGCGAAGCAAGCAGAACGAGAAGAAGCCTCGCTGTTGACTATTCTTCGCGAAGAAACGACAGTGACTATTACGCACAGCGAAAAGCCGTCATGGACAGATATTACGCTCGGCAGCGTGAGATAAACGCGCGATACGCTGCTAATCGAATAAACACGACTCCACGATTAAAGTACAACAACGTGTCGCAGCATCAGCCGACAAGCAACGTTACTCTGTTCAATCTCGGACATGTATACCCTAGTAAAGACTCGACGGCGAGGGACAATGCGACTTTTCTTCATCTCTCCACAAAGATAGATCCAATATATAGCAACGAATCGCGATACAACAAAATACCGACGGAACTGGACAGTCGACGAAACTTCGTTCCTGAAATCGACCCCGGCTTCAGATCTGACACGGATTCGTCTCAAACGAGAAGCAGCGGTAATAGCGAGAGAAACGCATTGGATTATTTTGTCACCCCCACGCCCTGCACGAATTTATCCTCAAATGGTACTTTCGCGCCGAAAACGCGACCCAAGCTCGCGCAAAATAGCATCAATGAAACAGAGCAGAGCAACGAGGACTGCGCTTATAATTCAGCAGAAAAGGTGCATTAATACAATAAATATCACTTTTACATCTCTCACGAATTTCTATCGTTACAATTTTAGTATAAAACTCTAAAGTGAATTGTCATTCTGAAGAGTGAAATTTCACTCTTAAAGATTAAAAATTAGGTCACTCTTTTTTAAGACTGGCTCAATCTTCACTCCTTAGGATGAGATTTCACTTCAAAAAATTTAGACAGTATTTTTTCGTACGTCTTAGTATAAAATATACGCACACTCTTTAAAATTTTTTAAATAAATCTCACTTTTAAAGATTGAAAGGTAAGCTACTGATCTTTATTAAGACTGTCTCTATTTTCGCTTTTTATCCTCATAGCAAAAAATATCACAAAAATGTCATGGTGACATGCGAATGTCCACTTTGTCACAAGTAACGTCGCTATGACATGATGATGAAGCGGTCATAAAGAAATTGTATCTCACTGTAATACTGCTATGACAAATACAGATTGAGATAATAATGTGATGTCACTGTGACCTTTGATAATCTCATAGTGGCATCACAATTTACTCGTGAGCCTATTGTGATTTTTTGCTATGAGAGTAGAGATTCCATTCTAATGAATTTAGAGAGTATTCTATTACATGATGTATTACGGATTACGTATTTTATTTTCTAGAATAACACCGAAGGCAACCTACGATGGGGAAAGTGCGAAGGAAAAATCGTGTATCAACACAATTTGCTTCTAGGATTAAGGGGTCCTTCGAACCTTGACGCTCTGTTTGAGGTAATCATTCAGGGCCCTGTCTGCATCACTTGCGTAGAAGCGTTGCGATATAACGAAACTAGAGCGATTGTCGCGTTGGATTCCGGAGGACGTGGATACGAATATGCGAAACTGAGGCTACAGGGTTACGAGAACGAAGGATTTTCCTACATAATAAAAGTTTGGGGCATTAACAAAATTGGTGAGGTTTGCGGAGACTAATCAAGATACGAGTAACGTATAAAAATAAGTGAACTAGGTAACATTATGTCACACGCATATAAAAAATCATTAATACAAAAATTAAGTAATATTTTTATGAATATATTGATATGTTGTGACATCGTTTGTTTAGTCTTATTTCGTATTAAGCAAGTAATCTTAAAAAACAAGCTAACATATACGAAAGATACATCACAAAAATTTTTAAAATTTTCTCCATAAAAAATACCTTCGCAAATGATCAAAATATTCTGAGTTATTGTTCTTCTGATTCAATATTAGTATAGAACGTAGCATTATTGTAGATAGAATTCTTCAAACTTGTCGAATAACTGCATCGTCATGTAGATTGGAAATTGTATACTCAAACAGTTGCAGTTCAATGTAATGGCGCAATCAATGTACTAGATGTCAATTGACTGCACAGCCGCGCCAACGAGCATTGATTATTCTTCAACGTGTAACAATAAAGGTTCTTACTTTCTTAAAAAAATTAAAGAAATAAAAAAAGGAAACAAGAAATCCTGACATATTTTATCGACATATCTATCCACACTTGCAACATTCATTTAAAAAATTCGCGGAGCTTTCTTCTTCACCTGTTTTTTTTATCACCATTCAGTTCTAAATATCATACTTCCGCCTTGCAAAGTTCAAGATCTCTTCGGTATGGAAGTCGGAAGAGGTGGCGGTGGTACATCTGGTATTTTTTCTCTGTCGTTTTTCGTATGGGTTCTCTTCTCGTCGTGGAAGCTTGGTAATAGAAGATCGGAATCGACGTTCCTCGGTGTAGTAGCTCGAACTGGTTTCACAGACTCGTAAGGCCGGTAATCGATGTAGTAAGTGCCAGGTACGAGATGTGGATTGAAGCCATTGTACGTATAGATGTACGGTTCGTAGTAGAGGGAACGATAGTTCGGGTAGAAAGTCAATGGCTCCTGTTCATTTTTTTTCGCGGAATTCTTCGTATCGCCGTTTTTAGAATTATTTTCCTTCGCACGATCGGTGATAGCAGGATCTTCTTTCGCGAAACCAAAGCTCATCGACTCGGCTAAATGCGACTTTGAGGAGGAGGCCTGCGCTTGGTCGTTCCTGATCACTTTACTATCGGCGAGCAACGGATAATGCACCACTTCCGGCCCGGCAAAGTGAGGTGCTATCTGCGTGTAATAGAACGGTGGCACGTAGCCGATGGCGGTTCGATGGATGACCGGTTGTATCACAGGGAATGCTCGCGACGGCGATAGATTCTGATTACTCGTAATCACGGCATTATACACCCTCGGTACCTTGAGGAGACCTGGCCCAGGCGCGGCAAACGCGACGGTAGTTAATGCGCACATGATCAGCAGCTTCATCTAGAAAAAGTACTTTTCCATTAGTCCTTTAGTTTTCCATTAATAAAGGAGGACATTAAAAAGGGACCATGCCCTAAAAGGTGTAAGTAAAAGGATTTTTTTTGTAGATATTGACTTCATGGATACGATAAATTATATATATTAAAAAATTCATGGCATTTTTGGGGAACACCTTGAAAATTAAATAAGAATATTAAAATTTGGATAAATACATCATATTCGTACTCAGTTTTCAAGTGTTCCCCAAACGCATCTTTTTCGACAGAAATTGGCCTCTTTTTAACATCCTCCTTTATTTTTTTTTTCGTCACAATAAAGATTTCTATTTACGTATAAAAAATAGCTGCAGAAGGATTCAACATAATAATAAATATATTTTATACCACTATTATATAATATGTGTTGTTCTTCCTAATAAGGAAATGATCGAAAATATTCGAAATGGCGAACAATGCCGAGAGAAGATGGGAGTGTTTCTGTAACTGACACCATTATTGTTTCTGGAAAAGTAACCGATACCGGTGGCGCAAGTGCCTCGCGTGAGCGCGCAAAACACTGCATACAAATGATCCGAAAGCCATGTGCACGGAATGTTACCCCAGCTGTGCTCATAGGCGTGTACTCGAGATTGAATTATCGCATTTGAATTCCTATCGTGTTTGAAGTTCAAGCTCCCGGAGCGATATAGCTGGCGAAGCGTTACAAAGCCGAATAGCGCGGGCGACTCAAATAATGTTTATCGATTTAATTTCAATCTGTTGTATCTCATCTGTTATCAACAATATAGATAATTTTTAATGAAAAATATAAAAGTTTATTATTTAGTAGACAAAATTACAATAAAGAACCAACACACCGAATTTTCAATTTCTTTGGCCGATATTCATAGTCGATTCTTATATTTAAGTCTGTTTTAAGCATCAATCATAGGTCGGTATTCATAGTTGATTCTTATTTTAAGACCGTTAAGTAATGTCTTAAGATGCTAATACGCTCTCTAATTGGTTCGTGACATCTTAAGACTACTTAAAACAGTCTTAAATATAAGAATCGACTATGAATACAACCAAAGAGCCATATTAGCATTTCAAGACATTACTTAAAACGGTTTTAAAATAAGAATCAACTATGAATACCTTTGTCTATATTACGAAAAAAATATTTTACATCCATACAAATTTGTTTTCTGTTATTTTAAAAGTACATGTTGGATCAATATGCCGAGAATACTCTCTCGACGTATAGTCAGCAGGAAAGAAAGGGTTGAAAGACACGATTAAAACTTCTCAGACAGCGTAGGTTTCACAAGGCAAGCCTGTCAGCGAATAAGTAAGATCACGGAAATACATGGCATTGGTGAATCACTTCATCAACATTCACAGCTTCACGATGTCATTTGCACGTATCACTTCCTATTTCCAACAGACCTCACTGTCACGTTTACCTTGTCGAATCGTCCTCGGTCCTATCGGAATTATGGTTAGCGGAGCGGTGTGTATTACCCGTTTCGTGTACTCACCTTCGCGTCGCTCTTATCAACTTCTGTCTCCTGCGTATTTCTTGTACGGCGGGAAATCAGCGAGAAGCTAACACCACAAGTAGTAAGAGCGCTGCATGGGCCCGTAGTATATATGGCCCATAGGGTTCCAGGGTTCAAGTCCTGCCTCCCCCACTACGGGCGACTCTCGGCGAAAGTACTCTCCGATCGCTATTATAACGTTCAACTTCGGACCAGCCTATATCAGCGGTAGAACTGTAGAAGGACAGCCGTTTGTAATACGTCTCCTTCACTGATGCGATCGAGTGTAGCATACGAGTGAACGATTCCTGGGATGACACGCATGTTTTCGAGAAAACCTCTTTTGAAGTGGTGTACATGCTCAAGATGATTTAATACTTAAATAGCAGACATGCCATTTTTACATAATTGCCAAATGCATGATGTGTGTATATGTATTATATATTTAATATCTTTTAATTCTGCCGCTACACCGAATTATGTAAAAAAGATCAAACAAAATTTTAATTTTATATTTTAATAATTATTTGTATAATTATTTATATTAAATTTTATGTCAAATTTTCGAGATTCTTTGTACACTTACAAGGGACACCAGGCAAATTAAAAAAATTCTGAAACTTTGTGTGCAAGAAGAGTAGTTCATCCGTAACACAAAACTATTTTTTGTTCGTGCGGAATTATAGTTTTAGGGGGTGAAACACTCCTTTGAAAAAAATCGGTTTTTTTTCTTTTGAAGCAAATACCGTCGAAACTATAAGATAGATAGAAAAAAATTTCCAGAATGAAAACTAAATGGTTTCAAGAGTACTTTAGAACTATAATAAAATAAAATTAAAATAGAGGTGGGGGTGGGGGTGGGGGTATAAAATAAATAAATAATTAAACCAAATTTTTTTATTATAATTCTAAAATATTCTTAAAACCATTTAATTTTCATTCTGGAAATTTTTTTCTATCTCTTATAATTTTGACGATATTTGCTTCAAAAGAAGAAAACCGATTTTCTTCAAAGGGGTGTTCCACCCTTTAAAACTGTAATTCCGCACGAACAAAAAATAGTTTTATGTTACGGATGAACTACTCTACTTGCACACAAAGTGTCAGAATTTTTTGAATTTTTGAATTGCCTAGTGTTCCTTGTTAGTACACGTACCACAATAACATTTATGATAAAGTTTATGCAAAAACGAGTAAAAAAGTGAGACTCTACATTTCAATTGTATAAATTCAGTGTATAAATTGTTGTGAATCATTTCTGACATATTAACGAATACCGAGTTTTATTCTTCCCAGCTATTATCTGCGAGATATTCAATCAGAAAACAAAATGACAATAATCCGTTTTTCCTGCGCCGTCATAAATAACTCGATAATAATGCATCGATTTCGTCCGTTGCACAAAGTAGTTCACCTTGCTCTCTCAATTCGCCTTCTAATTACAGGCCATTATGATAATTACTATATGCACTTGTCCTTGAAAGTGACACATACGGAAATGGCAAAAGATATGTATTATATTTAAAAACGCATAACAATCGTATCTTTTTTTGCACAGCGCGTGATGCCAATTTATTATATGAAATATTATTATTATTGTAGTTTTGTACAATACTGTTTTTACAATAATTACCTAAGCGCGATCATTACTGACAAATTCTATTTGAATGAAATTTAGTTTCTCTTAGAAAACTTTCGAGCAGATAAAATATATGTATTTATATTTATATGCACGCGTGTGCGTAAATAAAAAATTTTACAATTCTGATTTCTCACGTTTGATAACCGCGTTCCTTGTTTACCGTTATAATTATTTATATACGTCATACAAGTTCGTAAAAGAATGATAAAACACTGGTAAGAACGCTTGCAACAGGATTTTAACAAATCACGCTGATACATCCAAAATTCCATGTACATACACGTACATCAGCCATTTTCACGCACGGCGTGCAGAGCAAGAAAAGCATCTCGTTGGAATTCATCGTGCATAACTTGGTAAGTCAACGTGCTTGAATATCAGCGTGTATGGCGTAGAAGCGCAAACACTACGTGCGAGTTCCTCGCGTAATCGTGTCGCCTCGCATTATTCTTTGTTTGACGAAGACGCATTTGTAGTATATGTCGCTTCGTAGTATATGTCGCTTCGTAGTATATGTCGTGCCTATGTCAATACGTCTGATGACTGCTATAGCAAAACCAAGCTTTCAACTTGGTCCACCCCAGTGAGAAATGACATTGGAATCGATGTCGATTCCATTGTCATTTCTCACTGGGACACTTATATAAACGCATTGCTATTATGGATTTTTACAATCTAGAGCGCATAAATACTTAAAACTACGTGAGCAATTGAAATCTTAATCGAAGCTGCCAAAATTGCTCGAGCATTCTTTTTGATTATTCTCGAGTGGCCTTAACACAATGAAAAGCACAGACAATAGTAAATAATGTTGTGTATTCTAATATACACAGTTTCTAACAAGTCTCTATTTCCTATTCTTATTGCCTGTGCTTTTTAATTGTGCAATTAAGCTAAACACAATGAAAAATACAGGCAAAATGTACTGAAAAAATGCTAAATTTTAATAAATATTTGTTTGAATAATTCTAATTAAATATTTACTAAATATTTACTAAATAGAAACATATATTTATTTGATGCAAAAATTTGATTTAATTTGATTTAATTATAATTTTTTTATTGTACGAAATAAATGTTTACTTTGTACTATTCAAAGAAATATGTATTAAATTAAGATTTAGTAATTGTTTTTCAGTATCAGAAACCATGTTTACTAGAATGTACGGTTTCTGATAAGTTGAAATCTGTTATTTCCTTATTATTAACTATGCTTTTCATTATGTTTAAAGTTATATTATATACGCGTTACATTATAAACTGTTTCAACTACGTGCCACACGATAAAGATAATATATAATAATAACAACCGCATTCGCGGTCACACATCAAATGTGACATCCGATAAATCGCCGACCGATAAATCGATCGACGATTTAATTTTGGTCAGATCGACTCAATCGGTATGTAACAGATTCGCCGCAGCAGCAAGATCGGGAAATTCGGGAGGAAGAAAATCATCAGTAGCACCAACGGCGACAGCAGCAGCAAAATGTTGGCGTATACCACCAACCACCAGATCGACAAAGTTCCCAGAACCGGCTCTAGCATTATGATCCCCCGCTGGTCAAGAGGTCAAGCACACGAGTATAAAAACACGAGTGGGAGCGGAGCACTCGTGAGTATTCCGAGCTATCCGGTTTTACGAAGGTAAAGTACTCCCCGATCATGCTCGGTCTTTCATCGTTGGTGTATTCCGAGGGATGTGCTGAAAACAAAGAAAAATCTTTTGAAATATTCCGCGCCCTTTCTTCTGTGATATATTATATATTGCCTTAAAAAACCGAGTTTAAACGAATTTGATGCGAAGAAAGTAACATTGAAACCATTATCGATAACTTGGTTATCTTTCATCACTATTACATTCCAATATACATTATCAATACTGAAAAGCTGTGATATGTACATATGTATCTATATGTTACGTACATTATAGATTTTTAGTATTGGCAGTGTATATCGAAACACGATTTATGTATATGATAATTCGAACGTAAACACATAATTAACGGTTATGTCACTGATGTTGAAATGTTTTCATACTGAATCGTAATTAATTTGAATTATCTCAGTGTACATTTGTCAAATTAAAATGCAAATGTTACCTCATATATTGGTTGCTGAATTATCTAGTCAAGCATGTAGAAAATGATGTACCGAATGTTACGTCAATCCACTAATATGCACTACTTCGATTGCTAATTATGCAAGAGTTTCGCGAGTCACTCGAAATAATTGCATAATGGTGTTAAAATTATTTGACAAAACATTAAAAATAGTTATTTAAAAACTCTTTCTTAAAAAATAATAAGAAAATCTACGTTAAAAAAATTGACTAAATCTTAATACGTATTTTTTTCATTGGTACTAATATTTACTTACAGTAATAAATATTTACTTAATAAAAAATGATGGTTAAATCAAATTATCAGTTCCTGTGTACAAATAAATATATGTTTACATTTATATTCAGTAAATATTTAGTTAGTACTGTTCCAACAAACATTTATTGAAATATTTAATACATTTTTTCAGAGTGTACTGATTTTTTCTTTATTTTGCTTGTCACCAATTAAAAAAGAAACGCAATAAGTAAATAACAATAAATAAATAAATTGATAATAGGGAATGCGATGTGTAAAAAGCTATCATACGATGTCTATAATAAATTTAATGCGAACATCATGCGAATTCGTGAGAGAGATATGCTCTTTCCTCTTAGAATTCATGGCCTATCTCTCTCTATCTTTTTACTTTATTCGTTCTGTCGAAACTACGCGAATGTCCTTGTGTTGAAATTACTAGATTTATCTCGATAAAATTGTTGAGCAATCTTGTGAAGCAATGCCAAGTCAAAGAAGATAGAACCATGTTGAAAGGAGGAAAAAAGAGATAGAGAAAGAAAGAGAGAGAGAGAGAGAGAGAGAGAGAGAGAGAGAGAGAGAGAGAGAGACAGAAGAAGGAAAAAGAGAATGGGAAATGTTTGCGAAAAATTATTGCAATCTCCGTAATATACACGTAATATCGCGAGAAGCGTGGTCGCTCGCATGCAGACATATTGCATCGAGAAAAGTGAAATTTTCACAATTGCGTAAGAGCTATATAATACTAGCGTTCAACGCGACGTCATCGTGTAATGCAATCTAAGTGCGCGATGTAATGTCAATGATCAAGCGTAACAAGATAAGAGATCTGTATTTTGCACCGGCTCGGTTAATTACGAATTACGTAAATACCTTCTTAAACTGGAGCGTCTATTAAGGCTTGAGCAAGTAATTGTGTGCATATATTTCGTCCACCTGCTTTTTCCGACAAGCAATCAAATGAAAAAGAAAGATTACGTATATATCACTATATATCTGTGTATAACACTACATTACCTATTATTATTCGTTATTCTTTATGTGACATGATTAAGCAAAAACAAAAAAAAAATAAAACATCGACATTGTAAATTTCTTCGTGCGAAAAATGTGTTTAAAAATGTTGTATCAGACACGACGTAACACTCTTATTATACCGACCGTAAAGCGATATTACGTCAATTACCTTTTACTTGCTCCGAGTCTATCGTGAAAATGTAGGTATTTATCGGTAATTGTAACCATTACAAATTAAAATTTTCAGAATATCAAATTGACGAAGTGACAAAATGATAGATCTGTTTACTTGCGATAATGCGTGATAAATAGTATTTAAATCGTTTGTAAATCAAAGCAAATATTAAGTTGCATCTAGAAACGAATATAGGTGAAGCCGTTCAATCACATTGCCAAACTTAATTTTATTTAACTCCAGTCTCTTTCAGAGTTTATTTAACACGGGTTTCTGACCGGTAAATCGGTCAACGACTAGAGGTTCGGTGAGACGCTATTAGCGCTATTTGTGTAATTTTATCCTTGTTTTACGTCCAATAAACAATGAAGATAGAATGACACAAATCGTGCTAATAACGTCCCCCCGAACGCATCCTAGAAGATACGCGTGTCCCAATAAATAGGGCGCGATTGCACGTCCTCCACCCTGCTCCACCCTACCTTCCGTTATTCCGATAACTTCCAAGCTCCGCGTCGCGGCATTCGCGGCAGACCGCATCGCATCAGGCAAGACCGTGATGCACCCTTATCCTCTCGCAGCGCGTGCATCCGAGATGCATGCAAGATGAACGCCACGTGCTGATGGAATGCCGCCAATACGATTCCACAGTTCGCAAGCTGGCATACGTACACACGCGCGCACGCACGCACTCCGCTTTTTCCTCCACTTTTTTCCCGTTTTTTACGACTCCAGACTCCGTCTGGAGTAAGTTTTACTTTTCGCTCGCGCGTCGTACGGAGGACGAGATAGCTCGCGCGACGCGAGCGGGCGCACGCTCGCTTTCTGTGGACTGAGCGCGTTAAAGTTTGCGGCCGATCTACGGCGGACTTTCCCTTTCTTTCGGCTCTTTCGAGACCGGCGGCGGCGCCGTGCCGGTGTAATACCGTGACGGGATCGGCCGCGTTAAAGTCGCCCGATTACTACATACGAACGGTTGCTGTGAACGCTGCGCTACGCCGCGATCGCACCGCACCGCGCCGTGCCGTGCCGCACGAAGACGCACACGCTCGCACGTTAACCCGATGGCATTGACAAGTTTCCCGCCGCCGTTTCGCGTCTCATTTCCATAGTTGTTGCTCAACGAACGCGCGAACAAAGAACTTACCAGCTGGCAAGGAATGCATGTCGTTCATTTACCGAAACAACATAACTAAAAAAATCAAGTTCTCCAGAAAATGATTTCGAATGTTTTAATCATTAAAAAATTTTATAATATTTTTAATGCAAATTTATTTATAATAACTGATTGTACAGGAATAAAAGTATGTTAAAGTTTTTTGACTAGAACTGTTTAATAAACAACTGAGATGAGACATTGTCAAAGCAAAATAATTGACAAAATGTAGTAACGTAATATCGACATAATTGTGATGAGTTTTAGCAACTCACATCAGTGTGTTGATCAGAAAATGAAGAACTTCAAAGAGCCGTTTTATTTGCAAAATATAAACAATAAAAAATGACAATTTTTTTAGTTATGTCATTGTTCCAGCAAATAAACGATATGAACAAACACAAAAATACGTTTTCGATTGTTTTGAGGGGTTACTAACGCGAAGCTTCATTCAATTTTTTCTATACAGAAAATTAGAGATTTTATTTTCTCTAAAAAGAGAGAAGCGTAATGGAAGATGAAGAGACAGTGTTGCGAGAAGTAAAAAGTTGCTCTTTCGCTTAAAATTGCGGTCAAGGCTCTATGTAGCTTTCGGATATATGTCTATATCAAAATTTTATATGACAAATACCATTCTCATAACAGTTTCTTATAAAATATGTTTACATAATATTTGATTCGTAAATTCGAATTTAAGATTGAATAATCGCAAATTCCTAACTTGTCTCCTCATCTCCGATATATTAATTAAAATATTATTTGATAGAAGAAGCTTCTTTGCAGTGTTTCTAAAAATCATCCATACACTGAGAAAAATGTTTAGTTCGATTAATCGGGTTCTGATTGAAAATGAACGAAGCAGAATTTTCTAGTTAAATCTGCTAAATTCTAGAGATAACAGGAATTTTCATTGTGATATAATCAGAATCTTCTGGTTCATTTTCTTTTATTTTCAACTAGATATTTGTCTCACAGTGTCAGAATATAGAAATAATTTTTTTTTTCCGCTTATTATTTGCCAAATCTATCAATGATGCAAAAAAAGTTAAAAAATCGTACGGGAAACGATGATTTATTTGTAGCAAGATTATTCCTAAGTTTACACTCCCTCCTTAATACATCCATATGTATATCGTATAAAAGAATAAAAGACATAATACGTAAAAGAGAGGCATAATACGTTTATTTAAATTATAATTATCATCTGGTATATAATGCTGACGATAACACAAGCAAGACTATACAGACATAGGAAAAGTTTACAAAGAAAGACGAAAAAAAATCTCTCTCGCGTGTACGCCTCGTATAAAATATTAATTATTTAATTGAATAATTCAGTTGATAGATCGCGCGTTAAAATTTCGGAAAACGTGAGAGCGTATCTCGATAAACGATCAGAGCGATTTAATTGGCGCCCGGCGACCGATCGTGCGAGCGAACGCTCATTTTTGACGAGAGCAACGCGAGGTTCATCGTTCTTGTACAAAGATGACCTTCGGACGAGACTTCGTTCGCTTGCTGATGATGCGCGTAATTGGAGCAGCACACCGTCCACTCAGCGTATCTCTTTTCAATGTACAATTCCGACGACGTGCGCGTGAATAAATTCTCCCGACGATAATCCTCAAATTCCTGACTTTCAAACTTTAAAAACGTCATCACCGGCATGTTATTTTCTTAATTTATTAACTATGCCACACATGACACATTTATTATAGTTAGTCATCTCTTTGAAACGAGTTTCATTCTCATTCGTCCCAACTTATACTTACAATTTTATGAAATATAACAAAAATTAAAGAAATAGACGCACGAAGTCAAAATAAATCCTAGAAAAAGTATTCTAAAACTTAAAAAAATTAATTTAAAAAATTAACTTTTTTATTATTATATTCTCCTTTTAAAAAATTAATCCTCTTAAAATCCGAGACATTTAAACTGAACAGTAATTAGTTAGTTATCAATTAACTTTTACTATCAGTAATCTAAATTAACTTTCTTTTTGTAAACATAATATGATAAATGGCTACAATGTTGAATATATCGTGGCATCTGTCTTGATTATTCTTATTAGGTATTTTCGAAACTGGTTCAGTCGGTCTGCGGCCGGTCCATTGATGTATGTCGATAAAGTTACCCACTAAAAATTCTTTCACAACCTACTTTACCGATGCAGAATTTGCTGGCAGCGCTCCGTCCTATATACGGAAAATTTGCGAATTACAAAGAAGTTCAAGCAATGTTGGGACACTCGCGTCATCTGTGACGATAATAATAAGTTTCTTATTCAAAGATACTTTGATTGAATTTGATGACCGTTTTCTGACATTATTTGTATTTATGTTGACATTACTAATCCGAGTCTGATTAAATATATTTTCTCCTATTTGTCATTTTATATTTTTCGTCCTTGATTATATATTAATTGGCTACTGATGTATATAAATAAAAAACGATTTTACCGACGTGCTGAGATATTTAATCATAAGACGCCCAGCATATAATATATACAACATGTGTAGCTTGATTTTAGAAATGTAAATTGATTATTATTAAAGATGTTTTAGAAGAGCTATTTCAATTCATAAAGGTATTATTTATTAGCCATCTGTGTGTCGTACCACGGCGTTGCTCGTCGAAGTTTTTGGAACATAAATTTTCCAGAAATGTCGCTGAATGAATTGGAAAGAAATGACGTAGTAAATAGAATAAGATATATCGATTCAGTTGCAACGTGACCTAAATTAAGTCTAACTAAACTTTTCGCATTTATATCATGAATATTATCCTTGATCCATGAAGATAACAAGAAGACAATTAACTGGAGATATCTGAATATTTGAGTTAGCTAACCTAAACTATCTATGTGAAGGGCCACGTAATCTTAAATGGCGATCAAATAATTTCTCCATGAATGTTTTTAGAATGTACAATAGAAGTTCAGGCTCCAGCACCATAAGAAAAGAGAAAGATATGATCACGCACAAACTGCGTCATTAGAAAAATGATGTGAATGTTTCCACGATTATCCCGACTTCGCGATTTTAACCTAGCCTATAAAAAATGTATATTAAGAAATACATTAAGAAATTTATCGTATTCGAAAAGATAATTCTCGCGAAGCTATTCCCTATTACACGATCTCTTGATAAAAAATGCTAGATCGCACGCCACGTGTTGTATTTCTTTTGCATTTTTATCGTTTCTTACAAGTATCTCTGGCTATAGAATATAGAAGCGTTTGTGCTATCCTATAACTTTCATCGTGTATTTAAACAAGATCTATTCCTAGAAAATAGGAAGCAAGAGATTTTTCTAATCGGAATTTCAAATATGTAATTTGAGGGCGACTACCTTGGTTTATTAGCCGTTCTATTCAGCGACGATTAAAAATAGTGTGAAATTTTATGCTTTGTAAATGTTTAATCTAAACACAAAAAAAAAAATAATAAAACTAGAAGTCTACAACAAAAATTTTAATTAAATATCATTTTCTAAAAAAAAAATACGATTAAAAATAAATAACTAATGTAATTATATTTTTTGTTAATATTAATAAATTAACTTATTTTAACAATATCCTAATAAATATTTAATTAAAATATTTTTTTCCAATGATTTTGGGAAAAGGAAATTTTGATTATTGCGAGCAGATTGTTCCATCGTATAACAATTTGGGGCCCTGAAAAGGGCCAGTTTTTTTTTTATCAGTTTTAGATTAGAGGAATCAAAATTATTTTTTTGCTTTTGACGCTTTTGTTGTTGCTGCCTTGGTGGTTTTTGGCTTTGGAGTCTTGGTTTTTGCTGCTGGAGCTTTGATGGCTTTCTTCGTTTTAGACAGATTCTTACGTGCAGCAGCCTTTTGTTTAGCTGCGGCTTCGACCTTCTTAGTTGCTGCAGTCTTAGCGGTTTTCTTGGGAGATGCCGGCTTTTTCTCAGCCGTTGTCTTCTTAGTTTCAGCGGCTTTTTTAGTTGCAGGAGCTTTCTTTGTAACTTTTTCGGTCGTCTTTTTCACGTCGGAGCTAGGTTTCGGTGCTGCACGCTTCACCTTACTCTTCGGAGAGGATTTGGTAGTCGCGAGCTTAAATGAGCCTGACGCGCCTTTTCCCTTGGTTTGCACCACCGCACCAGATATAACCGCTGTTCGAAGGTATCGTTTGATGAAGGGAGCAAACTTCTCTCCATCGACTTTGTAAGTGGAAGCGATGTATTTCTTGATTGCCTGCACGGATGAACCCTTGCGATCTTTCAGCTCCTTGATGGCAGATGTGACCATCTCCGAAGTCGGCGGATGATTCGACTTTGGGCGCTGCGTCTTTGCTGCTTTAGATTTCGCGCTCTTCTTCGCAGGCGTTGTAGCAGCTGCGTTTTCCGTAGCCGCAGCATTACCAGATGCGTTCTTATCTTCCATTGCGATGCGATACGAGAAAAATGCCAATGTTCAACGACAAAGTACAAATATAAACTTTCGTACTAGACGCTCACAGATGACGCTATTCTCGAATATTGTCAAGCGACTCAGTCAACGCGCTACTTGTACTACGAGCGCGGACCACGGAGAGAGGCCCTCCCAATGTTGCAGGTAACAAGCAGCTGGGAATGAAAGAGCGTCCGGTAATTGTTCGTTGTTTAAACAATATTTTACATAATGAAGGTCATTAGTTCGCGACTCAGAATTGTACAAGCAAGTAGCTAGTTTCATTTGGTATACATTTTAACGGCCCTCTGCGCGGTTGACATCGATTTTTTCGCGGTTCCGTGCGATGCGAGCACTCGGTTCATTCGAGGAGCTCGATTCAATTCGAGAAATAAGTTAATAAACAATATAATTATTAATGCACGGCGCACTTATGCGGCTCATAAAACGTCGTGATAGCTGTGCTAACCGACCGCAAGTGTTTACCCCGAGCGAAGCACCAGATACGCGCTGAAAATTCCAAGTTTCACGGGTGGCAGAATACAAGCGTTAGCGCAACACAAAGTGAATACCGATTACAAAGTACATTTGCAGACAATTTTACTGAATAGTGTAAAATGCCATTATCGATCGAGAGAAACGCAAATATAATTAGGTTGCAATATTATACGCATAATCGACAATTTCGTTCGAAGAATATCGTATATACATGAAAACGGCTTCCTATAACACGCCGATTGCCCCTGTGCAGTAAACCTTACTGTTATAACGAACCTGTATATAACAAGAGATAACGAAATAACATATAGAGATTTGTATAAACGAAAAATAACGTTTGAAAAATATTAAACTGTCGTTGCACAGTCATTTCCTTGAAATTTGCAAAAATCAAGCGCAATTTGATATCATAATTCAGTTCTGATTCGCGAACTATACGACTAAAGAATCATAAAAACTGTCGTAACCTAATAATATTTCCAAGCAATAAGTTTTACAGATGATACGAATGCTTTTGCATCCTGAAACAGAAATCGATGACATACTCAAATTCCCGTTTTTGAAAATTTGTAGAGCGACTTTTCACGAATTTGTGTCTGTATAACGACTTGAGAACTCTTTTTCGCAACGCGCTGATTAAGTCTCCTTGCATGCAACAGCGTATTACTTACAACAATTATCCAAAATAGTATAATAAGCATATTTTATCATGTTTTGTATACTTTTGTTGAATTTAAATACAAAAAGTTAATTTCTATAAGTACAAATTGTACATATTTTTTACAATGTTATCTATATTTTAAAGAAATCGTATTCGTATAAGAGACACTCGATCGAATTGAAACGCTCGGTCGTTTATATTTATGAAGAATACAAATTTTATTATAGAATGTAGATGGAAAAATTTGTTTTAAATATAGATTAAAATGTATTACTCTTAATTCCTCGCTTTTTTTCTTAAGCAACCTTTATTACTTTTATATTTCTGAAACGCACTATTAGATTTTCCTTATCTTACAATATAATTTTGTGAAACTTTCTGAGGTATTTAACATTTTAGAACTAGTGATTTTAACACTTATAATTAACATTTTTATAATAATTAACATTTTACAACTAATATACAATATATGTTTATTCGTATCTATAATTTTCTTTATTGTCAATAGAATTATTATACTAAAACATTTACATCGTTTGCATAATTTGACTTTATGAAAATATGTGTATAAAATATTAATATTACATTTGATATTTACAAACTTACAATTACATCTCGAACATATTATATTTACAATATTTAAAAGGAGAAGCATATAATAAAGGAAAAATATGAATATACACACGCTCATACATATTTATACGCGAATACTTGACCGAATTATGGCATTAAAAATAAAATAATATTGAAAGCTGCATTTCATTGATTTTTATTTTATAGGTTAGCGTGTAAGTACATGTCTAAAATAGTTTCATAATTTCTTTGACAATACTTATAGTAACCATTTAATATTAACTTCTTGGCATACTTACAGTTTCTAAGAACAATAACTTATTTTTAGTCCAAGTTTTACAATCTCTATAAAAATGCATATGAAATCTTATGAAGCTTATGCTAAACAAATATACATACTGCGTTGTGATTGAGATTTCATTTCGTCTATAAAAATATTATAGTAGATTATTATTAGATACTATTTACCATTTAATCGATTGAAATAAAGAAAAATGGAATATGCAAACAACACAAATGATATAGTTTAACTAAAATACAAACACATCATTTCTCATGATATTTAGATAGGTTATGTATCTAATGTATTTTGATGTAATTGTAGTTTTAGGATATTTTTGGAATTTCCATGAAACGAATAAGTAAAACTCGCAGCTAAGAAAAAAACTAAAGTATCTTAATATTATATTTGTACATAATAAATATATCGTCTAAGATAAGTCTGCATGGACAAAAATATTCTATTCATAACTGAAATATCCATATTTTCAATCTAAATCGAAATATTTTCTTACGCAGAATTATCAGAAAATGTAATTTCATATTTTGCATTTGACATTTGACATTAAATATTATCCGCTTGCTTCGGCTATCTAATTAATATATGTTATTAATTTTAAAACTACTTATGATGTACATATGTTGCAAATTATGCAAACATATTTTATGTTAAAGACTTAATGTAAGTAAATAAGACTAAATATTTGACAAAAATTTAATAAAACGATTGACTTAACAATCAATATTTATGTCAAATATGATTACTAGCGAATGTTAGATTCGTTAATATTTTAAACAGCGTGACATTTATTTATTTTTTAAGTTTGGAATACAAGATTTAAATATTTAATTTTTATTCGCAGAATTTCTCATTTAAGTGAAAAGTAATTAAAATTACTGTTATTGTTCATGTACAACTTGATATTGAAACGCAATTATAATTTCAAAGGTACCTAAATTGACATCAATCATATCTTATATCAAACATTAATTGTATCAAACATTGTAACATATATTATGCTGGTATCGGAGAGAATAACATTTTATTGAATTTTAATTCCATTTAGAAAAGGTATACAAATATTATAAGTAAATATATGCCACATAAAATGTCTTTTCTTTACACGTTCTTTCCGTACGTATTGCTACAGTATATTTAGTTAATTCCTATAATCTGTATGTATCATTGATTTATCGTTGATATTATATATGAAATAAGGCTGGAAAGTAATATGTTTCGTTTTTTACATTCTCATACACGTTATATATATGTTATACGAGGGATATTCTTTAAAAATTTGTGTTAAAGAAATAACACTGTCAGACTCTGCGTGTGCGCGCGCGACTGTTACACTGCCTCTCCCCACCATTAGTGCAGCGACCAATCGCTGTCGAGCCGGTTGTCTTGGGCCCTATAAAAGTACGCGTGACGAGCAAACACCGTTTTTCTTCTGACGACCGTTCGGGAACGTACTGCTCAGATTAGAAAAATGGCTCGTACTAAGCAGACTGCACGCAAGTCTACCGGAGGCAAGGCTCCCCGAAAACAACTGGCGACTAAAGCGGCTCGTAAGAGTGCGCCTGCCACAGGTGGCGTGAAGAAGCCTCATCGTTATAGGCCTGGAACTGTGGCTCTTCGAGAAATTCGTCGCTATCAGAAGAGTACCGAATTGCTGATCCGCAAACTGCCATTCCAACGCCTCGTTCGTGAGATTGCTCAAGATTTCAAAACTGACCTTCGTTTCCAAAGCTCTGCTGTCATGGCATTGCAAGAGGCTAGCGAGGCTTATCTTGTTGGTCTATTTGAAGACACCAATCTTTGCGCTATTCACGCCAAGCGAGTTACCATCATGCCCAAGGATATTCAACTGGCACGTCGTATTCGAGGAGAGCGTGCTTAATTAAAAAAATATATATCGGCCCTTTTTAGGGCCATCAATTTTTTTGTACGATGGATCGTCTCTTTCGCTTACATGTCTTCCATATTTTGAAATAAAACTAATTCGTGTTTAATTTTATTATGAGCAACAATTTTGAAATGTTAAATATGCTTTTAAAGAGATATTACGACTTACTCGTTTTTAAAAATATTTTAGATAAGTAAAATAAAACTATCAACGCTCTAGGTATTGGAATTTATTTATTTTTATTTATTTGTATTTCAAGTTATTAGAATTTTTTTAAGTGATCATCAAAACCATAAAAGTTTATCGCGCACTATGTCTTATTTCTGCAATAGATTGTTACTAGAACTCGCTTTCGCCATATGTCAAACGTACACCCTAATTCCTCCATTTTAATTTCATCATTAATTTCAGACTACGTACATTGTATCATCAAAAATATTATTCGTTGAAGTTTTCTATCGGTATCATTTGAGATCTGATGTACATAATTATATATGGAAAAATAGTCAAAATTTAAAAAAGAATTGTTTAGTATGAATTATTTATTAAAGTTGCGCATAAAATTGAATTTAATAATTTTTTTAATATAATGGGATTTGAAGTTCTTTAGATTTCAAAAGTGTATACTCTAGTTCAGCCACAGGAAACAGACTCTAAGTTACGAAATGCATGCGATCGATGTATTTATGCCATATACCTCTCATAACACAACATTCACAGTGAACTGCAGCTTAGAATATTGACGCAAATAACTTCAAAAAATTTAAAGAATTGAAACGAAAATAAATGCGTGTCAAACCAACGTTGTAACTCTGATACTTTTTATTTTAATTCCCAAGAAAATAACCTCAAAAACGAAGTTTCTACTCTATAGACTAAAATAGTTAAGAATGTCAATGTTTTCATATGTTAAAAATGTCAATGTTTCACATGAAAATTATTTCCTTATTGAACTATCCTAGATAGTAAATATGTTCAATTGTTCAAAATGTAGACGTCTTTTTTGAATGATCATGCACGCTGTTTGGGATTTTATTCTATAATCAAAATTGTTATTAAATTTAATTCACACTTCCAATAATTTTCATTAAACAAATACAAATTTTTTAAGTTAAAAGAAAAGCATCACGTCACATGACGATTAATGATGTCAAGTTATATTACTTGTGTATATGCCAGTTTTAGAATCTATATTAAATTAAAAATTATCTTATACTATAATTCCAATAATTGCATTTATGTATGTATATGAAAACCGCTCCGCATCTTATGTACGTGAACGAGCTTTGTCCACAGATTGACGTGTTCATTCACTCCTAACCTCAAAAACTTTCAGAAGTCCATCTTTCGAGCATTCATATAAATTGTAGTCTTATTTACATTTAATATGTACATTTTGTCAAGTTTTGCATAAATACTAAATTATACATTTACAATAATGTGAATCATAATATTGTGTTTACATATTATATGTATATAACAGTTGCAAATTTAAACGAGAATTGCATGAAAAGAACGAAAACAAAAATATCTTTATGTAATATTAACACCATTAGCAACAATGAAATAGCTATTCTACAGAAATAAAAAAAGAGAATTTGAAGCATTTAAATAGATATGCATTTTCATATACTTAAAAACTGTAAACTTTCTCGCTTTAAATTTATCGTCTTTTTTAGATAAAGATAAAAAGAGCCCTTAAAAAGATTTTAGTTTAATTTATATTAGAACGGACAAGAATCCAACTCAATTTGCATACATTATAATTGATATTTGACTTTTTCGTGATTAAATGTTAACATTTTAATATCGAACATATATAGGTTATATTATACGAATTTATTATGAAGCATGTATAGATATAGGTAGGATAATAGGATTATACAACGAACAGAAATTATTCAAACGTTTGAAATATTTGTGGCCCTGAAAAGGGCCGATTTGATTTGTAGAGCCACTGTTCTTCGTTTAACCACCAAAGCCGTACAGAGTTCTGCCTTGACGTTTGAGGGCGTATACGACGTCCATGGCGGTTACAGTCTTCCTTTTCGCGTGTTCGGTGTAGGTTACAGCATCGCGAATAACGTTCTCAAGGAAGACCTTCAACACACCTCGAGTTTCTTCGTAGATCAAGCCGGATATACGCTTGACACCACCACGTCGTGCCAAACGACGGATAGCTGGCTTGGTGATACCCTGGATGTTATCGCGAAGAACTTTCCTGTGACGCTTTGCTCCTCCTTTTCCCAATCCCTTTCCTCCCTTACCGCGACCAGTCATCTTGAATCTCTACGATACGAACTCGCTGATACAAAGACAAACCGACGAATGCGACAAAATGGTTGGAGCAGGCACCTTTATATACTGTTTCGACTCGGCTCTCCCCTCCACGTCGACGTCAGCCAATCAGAACGGTTACTCGGTTTCTCACACTCATCGTATGCGCAATAGGTGAAAATATTGTCCAACTACTTAATATGCTATATATATTAAGTGTACATATTTATACAGGCTTGATTCTGATAAATATTACGAAAGTTTATGAAAAAAAGGATGAGAAATAAAAAAGGAATTTATACCTATTTATGAATCTATTCAATAATATACAAATCGAATCTGTTTCGAACGATTATGCATAAATTTTCCCAACGGTTGCTTTTTTACACAATTCAGTGAATTATTTCGCTCTTGTTGTTTAATGTTGACAAACAAGAATGTAATGATTTATTGTGTCACACTGTGAATCTTTGTGTACCTTCATTGAAAATGCCATTGTAATGGCGTGTGCTCGAAAGCATCTAGTGAATTTACAATTAGAAAATATCCATCAGTCGATGCTCTTATGCGATGATCTGTACGAGAATATTGTTTAGATTTGCTGTTTAAATTAATATGTTAATATTTGACATTACATTTCAATTACAATTAGTAGCACGCAGAGAATAGCGATGCTGTTGTCTTTTCTTATATTCATCTGATGAAATGTACATACATTCATTATTTAATTATAAAGTCAAATATATTAATAATCACGATATATTAATAAGTAAAATTAAAACTGGTTCAGCGTACAACGTAATTAGGTACTTCGTTAAGGAAGTTGAGAAAGAAAACTATAGAAAGAGTACACGAGAGAAAGAAAGATGGAATGTGAGTACGCTTAGCAACATGAGCGCCGACCAATGACGTGCGGCGAAGCCACAGCTGAGCGCTGCTCGCACGTGATTGGTGCGCTTCGGACGACACTTTCTGCTATATATACCGTGTTTTTCGAGGGATTGAGCGGTATTCGATCCTCGAACGTCGTGTATGTCACGTCGCATTCGAAGTACGAACACTTTCGTCAAGGAGATCGACGATGCCACCTAAAGCTAGCGGCAAAGCGGTGAAGAAAGCCGGCAAGGCTCAAAAGAACATCAGTAAAACTGACAAGAAGAAGAAGAGGAAGAGGAAGGAGAGTTATGCGATCTACATCTACAAGGTGTTGAAGCAGGTCCATCCTGACACCGGAATCTCCAGCAAGGCTATGAGCATCATGAATAGCTTTGTCAACGATGTCTTCGAACGCATCGCAGCAGAGGCGTCTCGTCTGGCACACTACAACAAACGCTCGACGATCACATCTCGGGAGATTCAAACTGCTGTCAGGCTTCTTCTTCCCGGAGAGTTGGCGAAGCACGCTGTTAGCGAAGGCACAAAGGCAGTTACTAAGTACACAAGCTCAAAGTGAACTGCTTTTACCAAAACGGCCCTTTTCAGGGCCACCAATTGTCTCGTAACATTGAATGTTCTCTTATGTTTGAAACATTACCTTTCTAATTTAATCTTAATTTCTGAAAATATATAAAATGTCCAATTCCTTAATCAAAAGTTACTATTATCACTCTAATTGTCACTCCTAATATTATTTTCCTTTAATATCCTCACATTTTTCAATCTTGTTCATTGTTTGAATTATCAAATAAACTTGTAAATCTAATATAAATGTTAAAATATATATATATATATATATATCTGTTTGAAGTTAGAAATGAAGGCATTCGTAAATTAAATTACTATAAATGGATATGAAAAGTTGAATAATTCATATTGCCATACTATTTGAAATTTTTATATACTAAAGTATCCATCTACGTGCTTTTATTATGTTAATATTTTATGAATTAAAAATTATTGAGAATATTTAGTAATAGATGAGCTAATTTACAATAACTATTTTAAATGTTTTTACATTTCTAATTTACATTGAATATATTTACATTAAAAATAGAACTATTTTATTACTTTTAATGTTATTGTCTGAATTTTTTTAACATGTTAATAAAATAATTTATGAGAGTAGATAAAATATATTTTTTCATTATTTTGTAATTATTAGTTTGATAACCTTATTTATGAACTAATTTCGATTATTTCGATACAAATCGATCGTTCATGAGTAGACCATGTTAAAGGTTAAATACTACTGAATGCAGACTGATGCGAATCACGCGAATGAATGTGAGATGTGAGTAGCGTAAAGTATAAAGTATTGTTTAAACGATGTATAAACGTCTCAAGAACATGAATTGTAAAATTTTTTGAAATATATGTAAATATTGCGAATAGTTGCGGATTATATTTTGATTATACATAACGTAAGTATTATCAGCAATAAAATACATATAAGTTAGGTTAGGTTAGGCCTTAAATGCTTTGTGATATTCTATAGCGGTATTTTTTTACTACTCAAATGTTCCATTGCTTGTAAATTATTTATATATATATATATATAACTGTGTAATATATTCGCAGTCAAATAAAACGGAGGAATTACAGACTATACCTCCTAAAAGAGGAGGATTATAACCTCCTATAACCTCAAAATGTCCGACGACGAGGATTTGGTTTACGTTAAGAAGCAGAAAACCGTCCATTATGGCTCCTTGGAGGAGGCAGAACGTGCACGACTTGCAGCTGTCGTCGAAACTACGGATGAAGAAAAGGATGTCACAAATGCAAACGATGTCATCAATGTTTCCGTCTCAGGAGGAAATGTACATATTTCGAATGAATACATGGAGCTCGAGGATGAAATGTCCAAAGATCGGCAGGCATTATTGGAAGAATTTGAACGTAGGAAAAAAGCTAGACAAATTAATGTTTCTACAGATGACTCCGAAGTGAAGAAACACTTAAGACAATTGGGTGAGCCAATTTGTCTCTTTGGAGAAGGTCCAGCGGATAGAAGGACAAGATTAAGAGAATTATTAGCTAGCGTGGGAGAGGATGCTATTAAAAAGAAACACGAAGAAGAAGAAAAACCGTCCTATCCACTCGAAAAGGATGCAGAGTCAACTTGGTATCACGAGGGACCAGATTCTTTGCAAATTGCACGATCATGGATAGCATGTGAGTCATAATTATACTTGCATCAGGAATTGCCAGAAAAATCCAATAGATAGAAAAAAATCAGGAAAAAATTCAAGATCCTGGACTTTATCACTGGAATAAATTGTAAAAAATTATAATAAAATTAATATTTAGTACTAAAAAAAATAGATTTATATACTTTATGCAGAAAATATTTTTGTTTTAATTAGTATAAATCATACTAATCACAATAGTTTCAAAGAAAACCAATAGTAATAAAACACCTTATATAATAAAGTCTCTTTTAATTCGAATTAATATGTGAAATACTTTTTTAAAACAGAAACTTTAAAGATAATAAATGTAATTAAAGTTTATATTAATTTTTATTTTGATTACAGTTTCACAAGAAATATAAAGATAATTTTAACAGAATATAAAATTTTTTAAAATATAGAATATAAAATTTTAATTAAGAATATAATATAGATTATACAATTTTTATTTATCTGATTCGAGTTTATTAATATCTTGCGACAAGAAACTAAATTATTTGTTATATTGATTCCTAATCTTTTATGGATTTTACTTTAGATGAAGTTTAAATTGAAAAACACTTAATTGAAAGCAAAATAGTGACACTAGAATATCGATGACAAAATACAATATTTTCCAGAAAAAAATTGGTAAACACTTTTCTATTAAAAAAAAACTTTCTATTTATTTTATTGTTTTTAATAGAAAAGTGTTTACCAGTTTTTTTTTTCGAAAAATACTGGATTTGATTATTAGCATGAATGTTAAAAAAATGTAGAATTTTATAAACTACAAATTAAATCCATATAAAAATATAAGTATTCATATCTCTCTCTCTCTCTTATTTTTTCAATACAATATTATTTAACTTTTATATATTTGTAGCTTATTCATTGCCCAGAGCAAAGGCACGGCTGGATAAGGCAAGGCAAGATCTACTATTACCAGCTGCAACTCGTACAGCGAAAAGACAAGAGCTTTTGAAAAAGTTGCAAGCATTGAGCATTTATTGCTCTCAAATTGGTGATAGCAGACCCATTTCCTTTTGCCAATTCAGCCCTAATTCAAAAATCCTTGCTACAGCTTCATGGTCAGGCTTATGCAAGTTATGGTCTGTACCTGACTGTACTTTGTTGCGCACTTTACATGGACACAATTGTAATGTTGGCTGTATTGTTTTTCATCCAAAAGCTACAATAACCGAAGATGTGGTAGGTGATAATGCGGTACCAACTTGCGTGCTGGCATCATGTGCAGCAGATGGTATGCAGCAGATACATATTATTATAAATGACACATAAAATTATATGATAATGTTATTTTATTACGTCTAAATTTTACAGGCACTGTAAAACTGTGGAGTGGTGGTACTGGTGAAGAACCATTAGCAGAGGTGGAAGGACATGAACCTCACAGAGTTACCAGGATCGCTTTCCATCCATCTGGACGATTTCTTGGCACATGTTGTTATGATGCATCTTGGCGATTATGGGATTTGGAACAACAAGCGGAAGTACTTCACCAAGAAGGTCACGCTAGAGCAGTACACTGCATTAGGTATATTTCCTCGCATGTTGTTTAATTTATCATATTGATCTATTTTTAATTCATCATATTAATGAATTTTTATTATGTATTGCGTGTTTTTATTTAGTTTTCAATGCGATGGAAGCGTTTGTGCCACAGGCGGTCACGACTCTTTCGGCAGAGTATGGGATTTACGTACCGGCAGATGCATAATGTTTATGGAGGGTCATCTAACATCCATCTTCGGCATTGATTTCTCACCAAACGGTTTTCACATAGCGACAGCAAGCGAGGATAATACCTGCAAGATATGGGATTTGCGAAAGCGAACTTGCATATACACGATACCAGCACATACCAATTTGCTGTCCGATGTGAAGTATCAAAAAACAGAAGGA